TATCTCTTTCGGACATCAGCGCTGACGTCATTCCGGATGGTTCTCGTGAAGGTGTTTCGAAGGGCGAGGGCGAGGCCAACACGGCGCAGTCCGCATCGCCAGGCTTCAAGTTTGTCAACCTTCCAGCGCATCTTCGAGAGCGCGATCCGGAGGTGGACTTGATCGGCCCCGCGGGAGGTCATCCGCTTGCAGCGGCTCAATCGCAAATGGGCCAGAGAAGCGCCGAGGTGAGACGTTTGCTATTAGCGGCTGCGAAGCGCGGCATCTACTTTGATGAACACGGACGAGCCATCAGGACTCCTGATGGCCAAACCTTCGCGAGCGATGTGCGGCATCACGCTGGCGCCCCATCTTCGCCGCCTGTCACCGGCGCGCAACATACAATTCCACTTGGCCAGAGCGCTCGAGACTTGCACTCAAATTCGCCGCTTCCAGTCGATGGCCACCTTGCCTTCAAGGAGCCCGAGGGGTATGCTCTGTCGCGAGACTTTATTCACGACGTGCCCTACGCCGCTGACCTTCCAGCTGTGGGTAGCGATTATTCTTGCGAGAGTGGCTGCGACGGCCATCATCACGGCCACGACTACGACCACGATGACTACGAGAGGAGCAACGATAGGAACAGCGAAGGATATAGATTCGATGCCGACGACTTCGACCCTGATGATGGCGATCATAGTGGGATCGAAGGTGACCCGCACAGCCCGTGGGACGACGGCAGTCGACACAGAGGAACCGCAAAGAAGCGCAAGAGTACTAGACATGCAACTTCCAACGAGGACAGAGGTCATGCGGGTTCAGCCAACTTTTGCGATCATGGACACCCTCTTGATAGGGCTGGTCGTCATCTCCATCAAGGGCGACATGCGCACGGAGATGTAGGAGGATATGTCTCATCACTCGATGAAAGCAGAGGCGATAGACAACGGGACCTGGAGGTCGAGTTGGCTGATCATCCGGCTAGGGCTCCCAAACCTCGCATCCCCATGTCTCGCCTTGCTTTGCTTCAAAAAAGATGGTCAATCAATTCTAGATTGCGAATGCGACGCTACTTCAAGGAGAAGGAGGCGACAGAAGCCGCTGAGATTGCTGCCAAGAACGCCGCAAAAGATCCTACTGGGGCTTTGGAGGGTGCGGTCGCTTCAGCACAGGACAAAGAGAAGAAAGCGCCCACCAAGAAGCTGAATAAGGCCGAGAGGCGTGCTGCTGCGCAGGGCAAAGCGGGCACGAGTCTGGCAGCGCTAAGAGCTAAAGTCGCTGCCTCGAAGGGACAAATGGCTTCGGCTGACGTTCACAAGGTGCCTTCCTCATCTGAAGCTGCACCCTCAACTGCAGAGCAGCAAGACGTCATCGATGCTGAAGCTGATTCTGCCAAGGCGGTGGCACAGCAGGACGTGAAACCATTGCCGCCCGTGGCACCCCCTTTTGTGCCGCCGAGCACGTCTTTCACCTTTGCAAGACCATCGCCCATCGTGCACCGCATCGAGGCGATGAGGACGAGGCTCGCAGAACTCAATGCGCAGCTCGACGATTCGTACGGTGCTGTGGCGGCCGCGACCAAGGCTTTAGAAGATATGGATCTGGCAGAGAAGAATCAGCGAAAGACGAGCGCACAAACACGACCCCAGGTCCAGGCGCCTGTACATAGCTCCAAGGTAGTCTCGACAGCCACAGAAACCCAGACGGGCATCGCAAGCACGCTCAAATCCGCTGCAACAAGCATGGCACCACCTACTGCCGCGCCTCCGGAACCTCTACCCAGACGACCCATCTCGACTGCACCTGATACCTCTCCACCAACTCCACACCAAACGCCTGCACCTAAATTATCCAGACGCAAGAAGGCTGTCATGTCGAACGTGCATCATCGCTCGAATTATATCCCATCTCGACTTCCCTCCGACCCGCTTCAGGCCTCCTCTACGCTTGGTCAGTCACCCTCGTACGGGTATGCTACTTCGCCTAGCCATCATTTTGGCCAGCATGGCGGAGACGCGAACGCTCGCCCAACATCTCCAGGAATGGATCATCCCACCGCAACGTCTAAGCTGTTCGACGAGTGGATGTGCGTATTTTGCGAGTACGAGATGCTCTATGGCGAAGAACCTCTGATGCTGCGGGCAGCGCGCAGGCGGGTCAAACTTCAGAGAAAGAGAGACAAGGCCAAAGAAAGGGCTCATCGAGCTGCTCAGGGACTACCTCCTCTAGCTAAAGGCAAGGGAAAGAAATTACCCAGCTCGGATAGACATGATGAGGAAGGGGCTTCATGGGATGGGATCTGCACATGTGGGCGAGAGCATAATCACTGAAGTCTCGATTGTCGGTAGCAGCTTAGCATCGCGGAGATGTATGTTGATCTTCTCAACCTCAGATCAATGCTATCAGTCTACACCGCGACAAGCCGAGTGCACATGTCAATCCAGACATTGTGGTCGCTTTCCTCTTCCTGGTCCTGATTCTGATTTTGTATAAGTCGATTCTTGACCGCAGCAGCGGCTCGGTATCTGCTCGATCCCTTGATCTCGAGTTGCTACTTGATCAAGCGCGGGACAGCGTGATCGCTATCCGAATGAAGTGTCGGACACGGGTCGCTAAAGCTGTGATCTCTCGGCCCCATTGGAATCCTTAGCTTCGTTGTCTGATCCCGCCTTATATCTGCTGCCACCCATCAGGACTGATAGCTTGTCATCGTAAGAGACGAGAGAAGACATGTCGATGACATCTCGGCAATGATGCCGACAAGATTGTACTTTTGCAATCTTGGAGCGGACATTCTCAGAGCGGCCTCTAAAATGACCTCGCAAAAGATGTGTACAAAGGCAAGACGAGAGATAAAAGTGAATGAGCAGGAGAAGGCAGACTTGGGGAGGAGTACACCTCGGATGCGGTGTGAGAATCTTGACGGTATTGTGTGAGGGCAATGAATGTGTGAGAAGGTCGGGGAGGTGGGTGAGGAGTGCTCGCCCGAGGTAGCAAAAAGGTCTTGAAGTCTTGAGGTCTTGCGTCTTCCCCTTAGTAGTAGTCTCGTAGTAGGTCCTTAGTAGTCTCGTAGTAGTAGCTCCTTAGTAGTCTCGTAGTAGTAGCTCCTGGATATTCTCGTAGTAGCTCCTGGGAGTCTCGGGTCACGCTTGGGGGAGGAGGGGTTGGATTTATTTTTCTTTTGTATTTTTTTATTATTATTTTTGCTCTCCCGATTTATTTTTGTACTCTTTTGGCTTTGTCTTTTTTTTTTTGAGTCTTTTGTCTTATCGTTTTTTACACTTTTCTAGTAACCCTCGGGGCAGGGGCGATTGGGTGGATGTATCTTTCTTTATAGTTGAACTACTTTTGACTTTTTTATTTTTACTTTTTTATGTTTTTTTTTCTAATGTCTTTACTTTATGCTTTTTTAATGATTTTTTATGTGTTTTTTCTTTTTTTTTTTTTTTGTGGGGGGTGAATGTGGGAATCGAAACCGAACCGGGGGTTAGGGGGCGTGCGAGGACCCGGACTCCGTGTACATGGGCGTCCTTTGCAATAATGTCAAATCCGTCCTTTTACGTCTATGGAATCCTGATCTTCTCCTTCCAGGGCAGATTCGGGAACACGCACATAACGTCACCACTGTTCTCGCTGAAGCAGCAGTGTCTGATGTGAACGTTTACCTGCTCCCTTTCCAAGCCTGGCAATGCAAGACGGTCAAATTTGGGACGCTCGCAAGGGGTTGGATCAGCAGTCGCTGAAGTTGGTTTTGCTTTACCTAGCGGGGACCTTAATTTAATTCGAGATTCGGCGGGCAGCGGGCGCGCATTTTCAAGGCGATCCAGAGACAATCTCACGTGAGCGAGCCATGCGTGTCACTTAGATTCGTGATTCTTGATTCGCAATTATAGCGGACACCTCAGCCCTTATCACCATGACCATCTCTGAGCTTTTATATGGCAATACCCAGCGCGTCTCTTCCAGCCTTGAAGTCCATCAAGAGACAAAGCT